TTACATTAGGGAGGGAGGCAACAGGATGAAGTAAGAAAGGAGCTACACTTCTTTGAATATACATGTTTTTACAAGTGTGACTTTAGAGCCATGTAAAATGCCTTTTGTAACATAAATTAAAAAATGTAACCCTTAAAAATCAAAGATAAAATTAAACACGTGAACCTCAAAGGTAATCTACAAGGTAGCATAACTACTAAAGAACTATTCCAAGGGGGGAGGGGGGTTTATGTTATAAACGCAAACAATGAATCATGGAACACTACATCAAAAACTAATGATGTAATGTATGGTGATTAACATAATAAAAAAAGAAAAAAAAAAGAACTATTCCAAGTGACTTGAAAGTTCTGGGATTTAAATATATATCCTTACTAGGATATAGCCTACAGACAAAAACAAAAGCAAAGCTAAAAAAGTATTTTTTTTCTAAGACTTTATTTATTAATTTGACAGAGAGAGACACAGCAAGAGAGGGAACACAAGCAGGGGGAGTGGGAGAGGGAGAAGCAGGCTCCCCGCTGAGCAGGGAGCCCGATGCGGGGCTCGATCCCAGGACCCTGGGATCATGACCTGAGCCAAAGGCAGACGCTTAACGACTGAGCCACCCAGGCGCCCCGCTAAAAAAGTATTTTAAACTTTTTTAATAATCACATTGTTGGTTGTGGTCTTAGTATTGTTTTTTTTGATATACGTAAAGTGAGATACAGGTAAGCAATTTTGATAGTTGAATCCCATCAAGCTGATGTCCTTGAGAGATTTAAGAGAGAAAAGATAAAAACCTGAAAGTCCCAAATTTGAACCAGAAGTGTCAGTATGATAATAATGCACTTTATCATAAAAACAAACCCAGTGCTGTCCACTGAAAAGCAACAACTGAAACAGAAGCAATGACCATCTAAGGAGCCACTGTTCCTTATAGAAATGGCTGACTTCAGGTCTAAGGCAGAAAGTGTACAAGATGAGCCTGCAAAATCTCTGTATGTGGAGAGCAAAGAACCCATGAAAATAGTAGTGTCATGTCAAAAAGAATGAGCAGTCATATGAAAAAGGCCAAAAATATGACCATTTGAGCATCAATAAGGCTACTGCTGTAAAGGTTTGCAACATCCAATGTTAAAATTCATGAGTACAAGTTAATACCTAAATAAAAAGAATTTACCATACTCCGTGGGTGCCAAAACAACTCATTTTGAAAAAATAGTAAGTAAAGGAAAAGCATCAAATACTTAAGCCTTTCTTAAACAAAGGATACCACTGAGTAACCAAAGAGCAGATGAAAGAAATTTCTCTTTTCAGGAAGTGTTCCAGCTTATACAAGGAGAAATATACAAATTAAAATACCACCATTTTACAACCCCCAATGAATAAATATACATCTAACCTTTAAGCATCAACTTCTACTAAAATCCCAAAAAAAACTATCAGATATTTTGTGCCTGCTGTTCAAGAAAACCACATCACCATCTAAAGTATTTTTTTTTTTAAAGATTTTATTTATTTATTTGACAGAGAGAGACAAAGCGAGAGAAGGAACACAAGCAGGGGGAGTGGGAGAGGAAGAAGGCTTCCCGCTGAGCAGGGAGCCCAATGCAGGGCTCCATCCGAGGACCCTGAGATCATGACCTGAGCCGAAGGCAGATGCTTAACTACTGAGCCACCCAGGTACCCCTAAAGCAGTCTTAACAAAAAGAAAAAGAACCAAATTCTGATCACATTTCCATATTCAACTACAAATTCAAAAGATATCAGAGGACAGAGGAATATGCTAAAATTATACTACGGGGTTGCAATCAACAAATCCAAACTGTGAGGAATGCTTTCAGCAGTGCTTCTCAAACTATGTGATCAATCAGCTTAATTTTCCTTTCCTTTTTCCCCCCTAATTTCCAATCCATCACAGATTATTTTGTAAACTACAAATAAGTACAGAAACTTAAAACCCCATTTTTAAATTAGCATAACCAACAAATAGATAAAAAGTCACTGTCAAACTGCAATAAGGTTTCTAGACACTCAATTTCTGTACTTAAGTCAACATGAAGTTGCATACTTTGTGGATCAGCATTAGATTCCAAGACCACATTTTGAGCAGCACGGGTTTGTAGAACCAAATATCTCATTTCTTTATCTGAATTCCGAGAACATCCTTACATTAAAAATAATTTAAAAAACCTATCAAGCTAGTCAACAATATATGACTTTATTCAGATCTCTTCAGTAAAACAAAATAAAAATCATTTACAAAACATGAGAAAATGTGAACTGGATTTAAATAAGAAATATTTTTAATGATGTTATTACATTAAAAGAATCCTTATCGGGGCGCCTGGGTGGATCAGTTGTTAAGCGTCTGCCTTCATCTTGGGTCATGATCCCAGGGTCCTGGGATCAAGCCCCGCACCGGGCCCCGCACCGGGCTCCCTGCTCAGCAGGAAGCCTGCTTCTCCCTCTCTCACTCCCCCTGCTTGTGTTCTTGCTCTTGCTGTCTCTCCCCTGTCAAATAAATAAAATCTTGTTATTAAAAAAAAAAAATCCTTATCTTTTAGAAACACATTATGAAATGTGTATGGGTAAAATGACATGCTGTGATTTCCTTTAAAATACAAGAGAAGTAAGGGTGGACATACATATATTTGGCTTTGAGTTGGTAACTGTTGAGACTACGTAATTAGCATATATGGGTAAGTTATCCTATTCTCTTCAATATGCTTGATATTTTCCACAACTGAATATTAAAATAAAAATTTAAGATTTTTAAAACCTGGCTTTTTTTTTTTTTTTTAAGAATTCAAAAGGAGTTTTGGAGAGGCAGCCAATTTTCATAGCATTCTGTGCCAGAAAGGGTAGTAAAACCTAAAAACTTTTATTAGAGGTGATGTTGAATGCAATCTTTTATTGCTTTGGTGCTTAGATGATGAAATAATAGTAACTTTAAAAACTGTTACACCCTTAACCAACCAGTTATGTGTAGCATGAATAAAGGAGGGAGATATTTCAAGGTTTTCTGAAAAAAGTGTACAACAATTCTAAAATTATATGCAAAGAGTCTATGTTTATTTTTAGAAAAACACAAAAATATTTTGTATTTGGAGCCTTAGGATAAAAATTCCCAGTCCTCCATACAGGAACATTATTTAGTATGTATAGCTAACCATCAACACCTGTCACTAAAACAAAAATCACCCTTACCACTTTTAGGCTTTAGCAGTTCCTTTTATTCTAATATAGAATCCCAATTTTCACATAACTAATTTGGAAGAAATAAGAGTTTCCATTTTTTTTTAATTTTTAAAAAATTTATTTGAGAGAGCGAGAGCATGAGCTGGGGGGAGGGGCAGAGGGAGAGGGAGAAGCAGACTCCCCACTGAGTAGGGAGCCCTACACAGGGCTGGATCCCCGGACCCTGAGATCATGACCTGAGCTAAAGGCAGACGCTTAACCAACTGAGCCACCCAGGTGCCCCTCACATTTAAATTTTTAAGATTAGATTCCAAGGTTGGTCCAGACAAGATTAAAGCTCATACGGTCTCTGGTTTTAAAAGCTTCCCCCTAAGGAAAAGATTCCTTAAAAAGTTAAGATTCTTACTTAGTCTGACTATGCTGCTTTACCTTGCTGGCACCTTATTCTCCAAACTTTTAATAGCTTTTCTCTCTCATTACCACACTCACCTATCAGGGATTTTTTTTTTTTTTTT